CATCAAGGCGCTCATGTGGAAGAGAAAGAACTGAATCATACAGCTCTGTTCATCACAAGGGGAATGGATCAATGATGAATCACAACTCTTTGAGATGGCTAGAGAATTTTTCAAAGATCTTTACTCCTTGAAGAATAGTGCCTTCACACCTTACTCGATATCAGGTGCTTTCCTGATGATCTCGAAATGCTCTCGTGCTTCTTTGAGTTCAATGATTTTAATGGAAGAAGTTAAATATGCCCTGTTTGAAATGAAACCATTTAAATCCCTTGGAATTGATGGTCTCCATGCCTTATTTTTTAAAGTCAATAGAAATTAGTTGGTCAGAGTCTGTACAACCTAATCAAAGACCTCTAGTTAGGTTAACCCCTTGACCCATTGCTTAATTGCACTTTAATCGCCCTGATTCCTAAGGTTAACAAGCCAATACATGAAGGAGTTTTGTTCTATAAGTCTATGTACTGTGGTCTATAAGGTTATCACTAAAGTCATAGCAAATCGTCTTAGAGTTATTCTTCCTGAAGTGATTGCCCCTTACCAACCAAGTTTTATCCAGAACAGGAGCATTATTGATAACATAATCATTACTCAGGAGGTGGTCTATTCTATGAGAAAAAAATCAAGTAAGATGGAATGGATAGCCATAAAGGTTGATTTAGAAAAGGCATTTGATAAGCTAAGATGGGATTTTATTGAGGATAAATTATGGGATGTGGGATTACCAAAGCTTATGGTTAAACTCATCATGGCATGTATCACTACACCAACAATGCAGATCCTTTGGAATAGGAAGCCATCTACAACCTTCTCTCCTATTTGAGGAATCAGACAAGGTGACCCTTTATCACCATATATTTTTGTACTCTGTATGTAAAGACTTTCTCAAGCCATTACCGCTGAGGTGAATAAAGGATCTTGGCAAACCATTAAAATGGGTAGAAGAGGTGTGCCTCTCTCCCACCTTTTCTTTGCCGATGATCTTATCCTCTTTGGTAACACTTCTATAGAATAGTGTACAGTTATTCAACGTGTCTTGCAGCAATTCTGCATTTCTTCTGGTCAAATTATAAGCCAAAGGAAAACACAAGTCTACTTCTCTAAGAATGTCTCAACTATAATTAGTAATGCTATTTGTAATACTTTGGGCTTCCAACGAATAGATTCTTTAGGTCACTACCTTGGAGTCCTTCTTGTCACTGGAAGGGTCTCGAGCAGGACTTACAATTATATCTTAGAAAGAATTCAAACTAGACTCTCTGGATGGAAGAGCCAAGCTTTATCCTTAGTAGGACGCATTACCCTTTCTAAATCCGTCCTCACTTTCATTCCTTTCTACACTATGCAAAGCACTTTACTTCCATTATCTTGCTGTCATGCCATTGAAAAACTTATCAGGAAGTTCATTTGGGGCTATTTGGAGGGCCACCATAGGGTCAACTTGGTCAAATGGGAAGAGCTTTGTCAGCCTCTGAAGCATGAAGGTTGCAATCTCTTAAATGTTGAGGCACAAAATAGAGCTTTCATATCAAAATTGGCTTGCAAGTTGGTTACTGATCCAAATAGTCTCTGGGTGCGTGTTCTTAAAAGCAAGTATAGAATACCTACTGGCATTCCTCATGATATTAGTAGGAATAAATCTTCCTACTTGTGGAGAAGCATTACTAAAGTATGGCGGGATACATCTTTCCATATAAAGTGGAAACTAGGTAAGGCTACGGCATTTGCTTCTGGTCAGATTTTTGCGTGGGTGACTCAGGTCCTTTAAACCTCTTATCCTTTGCTAATATACCTAGCCATGAGTTAGAAAGACCCATAGCAGATTTTGTTGATGAAAATGGGAATTGGAAATGGCCTCTTTTTGGTCACCTTCTTCCAAAGAATATTCTTAAGGAAATTGCAAATGTAACTCCCAGTGTTAATCCCACGATAAGCCTTCTTGTTTTTGGAATCTGATTAAGGATGGAAGTTATAGTATCAAATCAGCTTATAATGATTCTCAGTCTCTTTACTGAAAAGCTGAGGAATTCAACTAGATGTAAGTTTGGAAATTACCGACTGCTCAGCGAGTTCAAACTTTCATGTGGCTTCTCTTCAAAGGCCATCTCCTTACAAACTTTGAACATCTCAGGCGAAAAATGACAACAAACCATATGTGTACTCTATGTAATAGCCCACAAGAGAATATTAATCATATATTTAAGGAGTGCCACCTGACAACTGTTGTTTGGAAGAAGGTGCTCCCTCTAGATATGCAAATCTGACTTCTACAGCATGAACATTGAAGCCTGGCTGTCTTGCATTTTGAGCAATCAGCATGTTAACATCTCTTGGAAAATAAGAGTCTCTGTACTATGCTGGAAATTATGGGAGGCACGAAATCTTTGAATCTTTGCTAATGAATTTTCTACTGCTGATAATATCTTATTTAAAGTCAGAGCGCTAGTAGATCACATTGTTAACACCCATAGGATATTTGATGCTTTATTGTAATCTTGGCTCTTAGCCTTTTGTTCCTGTACAGTCTTTTTAAGCAATACAATCCTTTCCACTCAAAAAAAAAAATTGTATATACTGAAATTGCACATCTATTTAGAATAGATTCCATTATAAAATAGATAAAAGTATACCATTTTAAAACAATAGCAGGATATATAACATTATTAAATAAAAACATTAAATATTTGATAAAATTAAAACATGCGTGAATGAAGTAAAATAAAAATCAAGAATGTTATGTGTCCATCTCCGTGGACGTGTGTGGGATTTTTTGTTTCTATTGACCAAAGTGCCTGACCACGATTGTTCAAATTGTGGATAGTTGATTTGTAAAGCATACCATTCATTTTGAGAAATATGACTATTCATGCTCTGTGAATAGTGTGAATAGTACTGAGGCTTTCAATAAATTTTAATGTACGTTGGTTGATTCTCTTTTTTTTCCCCCTATCGGTCTTGAATATATTGACTTGAATCCATTCATTCCTTATTTATATATCCTGACGCGTGTGATGGGGGCCAACATTATTCAACCAATCACTTATCAAGAAAGATGGCTCTTGAGATGCTCCAATTTTAGGGTCAACTATGACGTGTCCTTATTATTTATCTTGCTGTAATTTAATCTCACACAATGCCAAGCTGTACCCCGCCACTTACGCCACCCCTCCTTGGATGCAGACGCAAGAATCATCGGAACCACATTAATTCCCTGAGAGCGACAAATTGTTTTAATTTGACCCTCACACACTTGCACGCTTTGGTTTGCCCAAATGTTAACAACGATCCTCTCTCTTAGCGCACGCAGCCACGGATTTATGCTCCCCAATTACTCACCGCTTTTGTTATATTATTTTTTTATTCATAAATCACTTTCAATATATTTTATTATAATTAAAAAATATTAATTTTATTAATTTTATTTTAAAATTTAATAATTTTTTACTTTTATTATTAATAAATATTTTTAAACATTATTAATAATATTTTTATTCAAAACATGTAATATGATAAAAATGTAGAGAAGGGTATTGAAAATTAGCAACCCTATAAATTGGATGATTAAATTTTTTCTCTCTTTATTTTATAAATAGAACCGAGGTGTGGTAATTAACAATACTCTTCTCTGTCAACAGCACATATCAATGGTCATGACTCCGATAGTCCGATTTAGTAATAAAATCATGTAATTTGAAAATCCGTCAATCTAAATGGTTCTAGCTCAACAATTAGTTCAAGGCATGCCTGCTGTTTACATCAGCAGATCAGCTGATTCAACCAGCTCTACGGGTCGTGCGCGTGTTTTGGGCATAATCTCTCACTTTTCTTCAATTTATACCAATCACCTTGCAAGACTACTAACTCTCGCATACTTCTGTGATGGATATTTAGTATTTACTGTTTCTAACTCGCGTATTTTCATTTTCTTTTTTTGGTATATATACTCATGTATTTTCATTTATTTGTGTGATATAGTTTTACTAGTATTTTGATTTTTAAAACTTAAACGCCCTAACTAATTAATATATAGGAAGAATTACTCTACGGTTCCATTAACTATGTTGTTATTTTTTTAAACTCAATTGTCAATAGATTTTAATAAATTAATTGTGTTGAGTAGGAATTGTATATAATTGTCCTTAATATATATTGAGATGTATGGTTGAGACGAACACGCAATCGCCAATCAAAGGCTGTAGAAGAACTGCGATAGGATATTCTCAAGATCAGAGACAAGAGTAGAGGTTGGGAATGAATATATATATATATATATATATATATGATGGCAATTGCTGGGGCATCTGCCAACTTGTTTCTTTCGCCACTTTTTTTGTTTGGCCCCCAAGCGATCTCCACCCACCTGCCTTGCACTCCGTTGGATCGGAACTTGGAATCATGCAATTGTGGATCGTATGGGGTGTCATTTGTATTACAGGGTTTGGTCAAAGGTCAGTAATGATGGTTTCCACATGGGGAATGAACTCATCCGTATTGAATATATTTTCCTGATTTCCGTCAATTAATGCATCAAATCTGAGTTGAATGTGTGACTCTGAGTACACTGGATGGTCAAGCCTGCCCATAGTTATACCACAAGGTGAAAAACATGCCTTTTCCTTGATCCCCCGAAATGGTTTACATGCAGTATTAATGAATTTATAGGTTAATCATTTTGCAACCTTCTCGAGCTCGTAGCTTCCCTGCTTAATAAATCACCCGCCGCAGGTTCTCTAGCCATTTATTAATTTATTATTACATAAAGCCTTCCTAGCTGGTTTCATATGATTAATAACCTCCTGCGCCAATAATACCGGTGTGATGATCATCATGACAATCCATCAAAATATATATATATATATATATATGTTTGCATTCAATAAACTGAAATTTAGATCTAGCTAGCACACACATTAGTTAAGGATGCTAATTCTATAAATATGTATGTCATTCAAACCCTCGCTGTCATTCTGTCAAATTATTAACTTGAGCATTAAAGGAATAAATAGGGCATAATCTTGTTCGCTAATTAATATTCTTTAATTTTTAGGTACAGTAAATTCTGCCAACAACTAAATGATATTGGCCGGTATGGGTCGGAAGAACATTTAATATGAACATTCACTTTAGCGCGTGGGTGTGTCTCGTTGGCGCAAGAACCTCAGCAACAGTGAAAACCAATTATCAAAATAATTTTTTTTTAAAAAATATCCAACGGAGGCATGGAGCAACGAATAATGGAAGAAACTACGAGTGCTCTGGAAACTGAAGCATCTCCACTACTTGGCTCATGGAGGGTCTTTCATCCATGTTATCTTCCACACACCGCAAAGCCACTTTCACCAACAGCTCCACCTTGTCAGGGTCGTATTTTCCTTGCATATTCGGATCTGCTACCTCCTCAGTCCAGCTCTTGCTTGTAGGACCATCAGCATTCATCTTCTCCTTCACCCATGTCAACAACCTCCGTTGATCCATACCTTCTTTGTTTTCTAGGATATGGATTCCCATTGGACTTTTTCCTGTTATCATTTCCAACACCACAATCCCATAACTATATACGTCCACTTTAGAAGTAATTCTTAGGTTGTACACCCATTCAGGCGCCATGTACCCTCTCGTCCCTCGGATTCTGGAAAAACCAGAATTGGCACCCTCATCCCTATTAAGCAGCTTAGACAGGCCAAAATCTGCTACCTTGGGTTGAAAATCTGAATCTAACAGTATGTTTTGAGGCTTCACGTCACAATGCAGGACCCATTCCAAGCATTCTTCGTGCAAATAAGCTAAACCTTTGGCTGTACCGACTGCAATATTAAACCTCTTGTTCCAGTCAAGTGCATTGGAGTAGAGATTTTCTGCCAAGGATCCATGTTCCATGTACTCGTACACTAGAAGTCTGTGCTTTCCCTCCACGCAGTATCCCCACATGTCTATCAAATTCATGTGGTTCAACATCCCGATCGTGCTAAATTCAGCAAGAAACTCTGCTTCTCCTTGATTAGTTTCACTAATAAGGCTCTTGATTGCTGCTACGCGATTATTGTCTAATTTCCCTTTGTACACGATCCCTCCCGCTCCCCGTCCAATCTCATCGCTGAATCCACGTGTGGCCTTTTTGAGTTCTGAATAGGTGAACCTTTGAAACCCTGTGGCAGAAAGTAGTTGTTGTCTTTCTCCCTTATCATTTTCCTTACTACTTCTAAACAAGAAGAACCACACGAAGAAAATGCAGGTCATCTCGAGCACTCCAATCCCGCAAGCGAACCAAAGCAAAAAATTCAACCACGTGCTATTTTTGGAATCTTGGTAAGTCCTACCCAAGCTCTGAAACAGATTGGCTGAGCACTTCAATGGTACATGTTTCTGAGGAACCTTGAGGGACAGAATAGTTGATTTTGGTAATTTGAGATAGACATCTCCATCGAAATTAGGGGAATCCCTTCCGTTGAGCAATATTGTTTTGATGTAGCAATTATAAGTACTAACTTCGTTGAATTTGAGTTGGACGCCTTGGCAATCATCACAAAGTTCCAAGCACCTATTTTCACATTGTGTCAAGTTTGTTACGCGGATTACCTCCAAGTCATAGCCGAATAATTCCATTCTGGGAAGATGAACAAAACCAAACCCTGTGGAATTGCAACCACGATGGGTAGTAAATTCAGGTTCACAGCCCTGAGCCCAGTCATTGGGATTCTTAATCTTGAATCCTTGCAAGCAATAACAGGTCCTGCCTACGAAAGGATCGTAAGTGCACATGCTGTTAGCTCCACAAAGACCATGAACGGTACATGGTTGGGGAATGACTTGCCACGAGACCTCCCACGTGCTAGTTTCTTCATTGAAGCTATAGAGACGCAAGTTACCATCAGGATCCATCAGGAATCGCCGATAGCGTTTAACACCATAATCAGACGGATAGAATTCGAAAGTATCAGAGGACGTAAAATGGCCAGAGGGATCTATCACTGCAATTTTGGTTATGTTGTAGGTGGACCTGCCCTCATCAACGGGCAGCTTCCACGTGGGAGGCCAGTACACGCTAGAAACGTTAGGACCATTGAAAAGAAGCCGAAGAACATTATCGTTGTCGAAGTAAAGCTTATAGAAACCAGAAGAAAAGTTGGTGGCGCTTCTGGATGAAATAAGGCTCGCTTTCTCGGTGAGTGGTTGACCAGGAAGAAGGGTATCGGTTGGGGAGTCAAAGCTTTGCCATAAGACAATGCCTTGTGAGGCACGAAGGACGAGGTTGCCGTTGTCCATGAGCATGAGATACACTTCCGAGGAGGAGAAGGTGGCTGTGGTCCAGATGGTACTTGCTCCTGCATCGCTCAAAATGAGGTTGCCATTTTTTAAAAGTGTTAACTTTGAAACTTTCCCATTAACGGGTTGGTCTCGATTTGCTATCCAGACAAGGGTGGGTTGCTTGGACCTTGTGAACCGAATGGAAAAGCAGAAAGCATTGTCGCCGACTTGAAAGAAGCCAGCGGAGAAGACGCCGTTGGCCGACACGAGTGTATCAGCTGGTTTCTCTACTGAGAGAGACGAGCCTTGTAGGAGGGTATCTGTCGTTGCAGGTGAACATGGAGAAGGAATACACAGTAGAAAAGAAAGGAGGAAGAAGATTAAGATATGCATCTGACTAGTGCAGAAAGCTTGAGATGGTTGTGATTAGGTAAGTTTCTAATAGGGTCTTAAGTTTCTGTTTATACATAGATGGTTGCTTGGTTAAATACCTAACATTCTATTGTAAAAAGAACCAATTGATGCTGATCTTCGCAGACTTTGAAGTTTCAACAGTCATGTTCTTGACCAAAAGAGTTAAAAAAACAACAAAGAAAGAAAGAGCATTCACGTTTGAATTTTTTATACCCGGCCTCCTTCTTCCTTCCTTCCTTAATGATAGTGGCAGTCGCACAATTTAATATCTTTGGATGCGTTCGTCGATCCGTGATCAAATTGTTTTCAATTTCGTCTCTCAACCTTACTGATAATCAGCTTGCGGTTTTTAGAGTGGTTAGGGCAATCGGACCGCACACCGAAAATTTTAAAACATCCAATGATGCAGACTCTTGTTCCTAATTACAAACCCACTTGGCAACTTGCTAGCTAAAGCTGCAAAGTTTATCCTCTCCAATTCCGATCCAAAAATATCCCTGTGGTCCCCGCGTATCCATTGCGCCTGAACTGCAAATTAAAGTTAAGACGTGTCCAATTTAGGACCCTTAAACTGTTTACCCAGAGATATAATTATATAAAGGTTGTCAAACAACACAACTAATTAAGGCCTTCGTAGAATGACAGACATAGCGTCAGTCAGCAAAATTTTACTTGGAATGCTCTTGACGTATAATACGGGAGAATTTCAGTATATTTCCTCAGCTAGCATATCGTATTTGTAAATATTTTTTGCTAAATTACAAAAGATGTCTATACATATATATAATCCACTGATGCACTCAGTGAAGTTTAAGAAGGAATTGTAATCAAGTTTTACATAAAAAAAATTAATTATTGTAAAGTTTATTAACAATTAAATTATATTGCATTGACAATTAATAGTGTTGTCAATACAATTTAGTTCTGTTATTAGTAAATCTTATAGTAATTAATTTTTTTATGTAAAACTTTAATATAATTCTTTTAAATTTTTATGGGAATTAAATATTTAAAGGAAACACTATCATCTTTGCATGATTTGTTTGGTTGTATTATTTTAATTTTTCAACTTGATTTATTATATTGACATGACATTAACTAAGAGACAATTATATCTTTTAATTATAATTGAAAACCATGTTGTCATTCGTTATCATGTCACTTGATTAAACCACTTTAAGTTTTCTACACTGTTTTTTTGGGACACATAGTCGTTTGTAAGCATCTATTTTATTGTGTTTTTTGAAAATTTTGAATTCAACTTATTTAATATTCCCCCTCCTTATTATAAGATATCTTTATCTATCTCACCTAAATTAAGAAAGGGCGATTAAATTATTGACTTTGTGTCCAAATGTAACAAATTTTTAATTTTATTATTATTTAAATAAAAAAAATTTAAATTTGCATTATATTTTCTTTTACAGTGAATGAATTTAAAATAAAAGTAATATTATATTGAAAAACTATAATTAATACTCTATCTACTGTGTGCTTTATGTGTGAGACCAGCATATCCTTCTAGCTAGCTAAAGGGTGGCCTATCCTTTCAGTTTCCTTGCACTTGATTCCGTCTGGTATTAGCTATGAGACACTTTTTAGATAGAAGGATTGTTTGGTCCTTGACATAAGCTATTTGGTAGGTGATTGCTCTCGTAGGTGTACGAAATTATAATAATAAATTATTTAAAATATTTTAAGTGTCGAATACACAAAAAAGTTACACTTTTATTAATTTAAATAATTAATAGTTTAAAAAAATAGATAAAATGAATAAATTTGTTAAAAATATAAGGAATAAAAATAAATTAAGAAAATAATAATAATAAAACGCAATCACTTGAAGCGTTGGGGTTTAAGATTTATCCTATAGGTTGCTAATTTCTACCCTTTGAGTTGACTCGGATCAATTATAGTGACAACTATTCCTAAAGTGTCCTAATATTCTCTCGAATTATTAGTCCCTTTTTAATTAGTGTTGAATTCGTTCCATGATACCCAAACAACTAATTAAACCGTGAAGCTATAGTTTAAGTCACCGTAAATTTCTAGAACTATCTCCAGCCTAGTTATTTATGTTTATTTCTCTAGATTTAGGTTCTCTCTTCACCTCCTAGTCCATCAAGATTACCCATAGATTTGATTAAATGGTGGTCAGTTATTAAATCAATATGAAGAATAAGAGAAATAAATATAATTAGGAAAAAGCAAAAACATTCACAAATATAAATGCAAAGAGTCAAAACAAAGGAAATAAAAAACTAGCTCCCCAATTGGGATATATCCTTACCCCAATTGGGTAATTTAGAAACACATAATAAAATCAAATAAAACCATTCTAAAATCCCCAATCATGAAAAATGATCACAGAGAGAATTAAAGAGTAGAAAAAAAATAATTATAATTTGTGAAACCCCTCAATGATCTCGCTCTCAACCTTTAGAATGCTTTTACGAGCTCCAAATATCTCAGAGAGAATTATTGAAGTACTCAGATAAGTGATTGAATGTCTTCCCTCTTGATGGAGGGAGTATTTATAGTTAAAGTGAAGGCTCCTTCTTTTTTTCCTTGTCGGACTCTATATATATATATATATATATATATCTTTTCCTTCTTTCCTTCTATTTAGTTTATTCTTTTTCTCTGCAAAATATAAAGATAAAAAGATTTTAATGAATTTTGTATTAAAATTCCTTTTTAATCTTATAATTAAGTAATGAGGGAAAAAATATAAATATCAATTAAATAGATATGAAATCTTAATAAATATAATCAAATTCAAACTAAAATCTATACTTATTTAATTACAAAATATGCACTTATCAGTAGGATATTAATTATGATTTTCTAGCATTACTTATATTTAAACTCGTTAATTACGAGAGGAAATATGATGCAAATTTAAAATTTCATTTAAATAGAGATAAATTGAAAGTTTATTTATTTTTAGATGGTTTGATAGTTTGAGGTATCTTATAATAGGACCAATGTGAGTATAAAGTTAATTATCTGGTATTTTATTATAATTGTGTACAATTAAGTAATTTAAATATGAGAATTGTTCTTATAAGTTTTAATTTTTTTTAATTTCACATCTTTTTCTTTGATCCTTTGAATGTTGAAGCTTTGTAAAATATTTTTTGTTCACACGTTCCATATTCAAAGACAAAATTGCAAATATTTGTTGGCTATTTTCAAACGTAACGATCTAATCATCACGTGGAGCAGGCCTGCCAAAGATATAAATAATCGTGAGTTACTAAAATCAAATTGTGCTGTATTTTCCAACACAGCTAATTGTTCATCTCAGTTACCCACAATTGGGCTTGTGTATTAAGACATTGATCCATCAAGTGGATTTTGATGACAAGCTGGAGGCATGAAAGTGGTTGACTGGTTGGTTATTTATGATGGGAGGCGAGCGATCGCCCCCTCCCTTCTCAACATTCCCCAACTACCATCGAAGATGCAAAAGAGGACCCATTCTAAAGTTGCTCCAATTATAGGGGCCGAAAACGTGTTTTATTATCAAAAATGGTTTTTCTCAAATACTTTTATAATAATAAACAAATGAATAGAAAACAGAAAGTGGCATTTGTTTATTATCTGGAACAATGAGCAGAGAACAGCAAAACAATTACACGGCAAATAGAAAGACCTTGATGGTAGGCTATTTGTAATTATTATTATTTTTTAACTTGAAAGTATGCCTTGATCCTTTTGAGCTTCGGGAATTCAATTCACTTAACTAGTTAATTTTGTATTACCAAAAAAATATTAAGAGCTTATTTAGATTTCAGTTTGGTATAATTGATTATAAAAAAATTAATTAATATGATTTATTTTGATTATAATTGATTATGTTATAACGTTGTCATATTTAAATATTATTTTTTAAATTAATTTTAACAGAATTAAAAATATTTGGATGATTTAGTCAAAATATATATATTAAATGTGCAAATTACCATAAAGGGCATTGCTTTTTTTTAAAATGTAAATATTAATTCAAGTATATAATATTATTAAATTTATTGATACCTATTTAATAAATATAATACTATTAAATTTTAGCACAAGAATTTACTTTATTACTATTACTATTATTATTAATTTCCCATATGTTGAAGTAGAATACACAAACCCTTTACAAGAAACCGAGCCATTGATGGCATCGTCGAGAGCTTTAATTAATTAAGGAAGCCTAAAAATATATCACAAATGTTCCATGAAATATCATTTCTTATATCCCACATCAATATCCTCGACCCACAAAGAATTCACAAGCCAACACACCATACCAATTTGTAAATCCTTGGAAATGAACCAAAAATGGGAGGCCAAGCACTAAGGATGTTATATTAGTGAGAAGCACTGGGGATGAACTCATTGCACAAAGCCAACCAGATTGGAGGTCGGACTGGAGACGAGAGGAGATGATAGACAGACATGTAGTTGGGGGTATATTCTAATGAACAAATCTAAAACTTGTCGGAGATCAGTTAGATAGGTCGGACATTGGAGAAGCTAGTCAGAATAGGTGCAGGGGTGAAGATAGGAGGAGGACAAAGCGCGGCTAGTGTGGAGATATATTGAAGCTTGGATGATATCTGAAAGATTGAAATTGGTTGGAGGGGTGGAAGAGGTACCTTTGTTTGGAAAAAAAATAAATCTAATAAGTAATAAGTGAGCTAACGTTATAATTGATTTGAATAAGCTACTTCTCTCAGCTTATATAAAAACATGGTTTGGGTACAAACAATTTATGAAAAATAAGGGTTTTTGGGTATTTTTTAACCCAAACTATGGTTTTAGTCAAAATAATTGATTATAAGCAGTGGCAGACTTAGAACCCTAGGTCTTGGGTATTTTTTAACCCAAACTATGGTTTTAGTCAAAATAATTGATTATAAGCAATGGCGGACCTAGAACCCTGTTGTCAGTGGGGGCAATATATTCAGTACAAGATTTTAATAATAATTTGATTTGGGCTATATTTCAGTGAGTTCAAAAAATAGAGATGGGTGAGGGCAAAATGAAAAATTTATCATATACATCTATGTAATTTTTTCCATTCCAAGGAGGCATTTGCCCACACTGGCCATCATGTAGGACCGCCCCTAATTATAAGGGAAATTCAAACAGGCACTAAGCTTGTAACCTCATTTTTTTAAGTGGGTTATCCATTTTTTTCATTTTCTTATAAGGTTTAA